TTGGCTGGATAAAACATTTTAAATTCCCAACTTCCAAACAGAATCACAAATATATATATATATATATATATGTAACTTGAGACGTGGTCATTGTCGTCTAGACCAGTTAGGTGAAAAATAAAGCTTCCGCCTTTAGTTGGGTACTTCCACAAAGTTCAAGCAACGAGGACTCTTTATAGTTTATTAGTCTCTGGTTTTCAATGGACTTTGCCATCTTCATCGGGAAATTAGTATGTGAGATTATTGCTAAATGTTATTAACGGTTAGGTTGAGGGAAACATTTAGTAGCCTGGTGAAAGCGGATACATGGTACATTCGTTAAAATTAATATAAAATACGCACAGCTGTATGAAGATGACAAAGTTCATTGAAAGCTAGAGACTAACAAAGTATATATATATATATATACAGGGTGGCGCATCGAAAACGTAACAGTCGCATTTACTGGCAGCTCAGTTTTTTTTTTGAAAAACGCTCGGACCCGTCGATTTTGTTTTCGAGGGGGGCACAAGTCTGGCAAAAGATCACGTTAGCACCTGCAGCCCCCTAAGCGGGGGTGACACCAACCCCAAAATCTTAAATGCAAAGGGGGGATCGAGTGATACCTTATTTTAAAGGTCTTTCAATTCCCTTTATAATGATATAAAATTAATGTACTTCAGTTCAGTAATTTTAAAGATTAATTGATTTAAAGCTTAAATAAAACTAATACATCATCATTAGTGGAGATCAATACATTTGGCAGCAAAGTAATTTAAAAATGAAACTGACCCGTTAGACACGTAAATGTTGAAAATGGCTACCATGCAATAATAGAGATTTGGCTCAAAACGTTGCCGCACATTTTGCAATATTTGAGGAATAATTTGAAGGCACTCATTCACAATTCTTTGTCGCAGGTCTTCTAATGATGTTGGCTGAGTACCATAGATTTTGCTTTTTAAATGTCCCCACATAAATAAACCAAAGATGATAAATCTGGCGATCTTGGGGGCCATTCAATGGCACCTCTTCTACCAATCCATCGATCTGGAAACGTCTGATCTAAATATTGTCGAACACGTAATGCGTAATGTGGTGGGGCACCATCCTGTTGGAACATCAACCTATTCGCAATGTACCGCCGATCATTCTGATTTTCAATTATGGCTGTTAATGCAGGATCTATGGCGTCTTCCAGTAATTCCAAATACATTTCACCGGTCAAATTTCCAGATAAGAAAAAGGGACCAACTAAATGATCGCCAAAAATACCAGCCCAATCATTTATTTTTTGTGGCTGCTGTGTATGAACCTCATGATAAATTCTGGGATTAGAATCGGACCAATATCGGCAGATCCATTTACTACGCCATTTAAGAAAAAGGAACATTCGTCAGAAAAGCAAGTGTTGAATAGAAAATGTTCATCGTTTATAATTCGTTCACTCATATCTTCACAAAATTGTAATCGCCGATCAAAATCGTCTTCATTAAGTTCTTGTACCAGGTGAATTTTATACGGATGAAAACTATGGGTCTTTAGAATTCGTTGGACAGTACGTCAACTAACACCACCACAGTCTCCAATTTGTGGGTACTTAACGTAGGATCTACATAAACTTGCCCTAAAACCCCACTTCTATTGCTCCGTTCCTTATGGGATTTTCAATGTTGCGTTTTTTATTGGCGACTGACCCAGTTTCCCGAAATTTAGCTACAAGTTCTAGAACATATTTTCGATGCACGTTACTGTTCTCATGTCGCTCATTAAATATTTCTGCTGAACTATTAGCGCACTGATTATTTCCGAAAAATATTTCGATAATTTCAACTCTTTCTGCTGTGGAATATACCATGGTTAATTTATGCAATAAAGCGTTACAAGTTATTTTAGCAACAAAGTTTGGTCAAATCAATCGCAAACTATGTACTAAATTCCTAGAGAAATAACTTTTTTGCCACAAAAAAACGCTCCAATAGCTATTTTCAACACAAAATGATACACAAACCATGGGCTTAGTGAATAAAAGCATTTACTTATTAAGTAACTTCTTATAGTCAAATTTCTTCTGATAGTAGTACACACTAATCTGATGTACCTATTAAAGTCTACTTTAATCTTTAAATCAATAAATCTTCAAAACTACTGAACTGAAGCTCATGTATTTTACATCATTATAAAGGGAATTGAAAGACCTTTAAAATAAGGTATCACTCGACCCCCCTTTCCATTCAAGATTTTAGGGTTGGTGTCACCCCCGCCCAGGGGGCTGCACGTGTTAACGTGATTTTTTGCCCAACTTGTGCTCCCCTCGAAAACAAAATCGACGGGACTGAGCGTTTTTACAAAAAAAAATTGAGCTGCCAGTAAATGCGTCTGTTTCGTTTTCGATGCGCCACCGTGTATATATGTACGTATATGTATTTGTGATTCTGTTTGTAAGTTGGGAATTTGAAAATATTTTTTGCTGTGGATCGACAAGTCGCATCATACAGCCGACATCATTGTCCACAAAGCACCCTGGTAATTATGGACGTAACCATAAATAATGAAGAATTCGACGAGGATGACCTTATTCCTCTGGAATAAAATCTAAACAGCCCAACAAACAGTTACAAGAACCAATATTAGAGAGTTTTAGCAGTCACAAATTTGGTGCCGTAAGCGTTAAAAGGACGTCATTTTACATTAAAGTCTTAACCTCTTTTTTATTGTCAGTACGCATTGCGATTCGCAGGTATTACTCTACATTTTCATGATGCTATCAGCCTTAACACCTAGTTCAAGTGAAAGGTAAATGTATCCCAGCGTTAGGCCTTAACTCCGAGATAACTATGACGGTGCAAATACTAACTCGAAATTAGCGCCAAGCCTCACTTTAACCCGAACCGGAGCAAACCACCGTCAGTGTAGCTGCTCGTGAATTTTGATCAGGATCAGCGCTGTATACAGGGTTATCCAAATTAAGTGTCCACCATTAGTAACTTTGTTAATAGTGAAATACAAAGTTTTTTGAATTAGCAACTAGTAGTATTTTTAACGCTGGTAAAAATGAGAAATAAAAAAAAACAATTGAGAGTCGTTATTTTGATTTTTTTCAGTAAAATAACATTTTTTTAAATGGAAACCCCTGTATATTATATTTTTTTCTGTTAAAGCATCAAATTTTAAACAAAAAAGCTTACAATAACTTTTCTCCTAGGTTACAAATTGTTGAAGTTATGGCCTCCAATCTGAAACAATTAAATTGTATCGACAAACTTTATTTTCAACATCAACTTATAATCTTACAAAATACAATAACAATTTTTTTTAAAGAAGATGCTCGAAAACACCACCTTGTTCTTCAATACATTTTTGGGCACGTTTTTCAACTGCTCGAACTGTGTTAAGTATGGTCCTACCATCTATCTGGGTTATCTTTTCCCTAACTGCAGTCTTTAACGCGTCAAGGTTATCGTACCTTCGCTTGTAAATTTGGTTCTTTAAGTAACCCCACAAGAAGTAATCAAGTGGGTTAGATCTGGTGATCTGGGAGGCCACTGTATTGGGCCATTTGTTCCTATCCACTGATCATTAAAAGTAGTACTTAGAAAATGATAAGTACCTCTGGAGTTGTGGGCAGGTGCGCCATCTTGCTGAAAATGCAGATGATGTCTACTTATAAGATCCAATTCGTCTAAGAAATTAGTCAGAATTTCTGACATAAATTCCACATATCTTTCACCAGTTAGGGTTCCCTCATAAAAGAACGGGCCAACAATTTTTGAACCAATTATACCGCACCAAACGTTGAAAATGAAACGAACTTGTGGGCCTCTTGGATGTACTAACAAAAGATTTTCTCTTGACCAATAATGGTGGTTTTTTTCTATTAAACATTCCAGAATTTGAAAAATTTGATTCATCTGTCCATAAAAGGTAACGAAAGTTATTTACATTTTGGCGACAGAAGCTAAGATACCAATGGCAAAAAACAAGTCTTCTCTCTGGATTCCCTGCCAAAAGCGTTTGAACTGGTCGGTACTTATACGGAATAAATTTGTATTTTTTTAAAATCCTTTGAACAGTACCATAACTGAAATTAGAGTCCTTGAGAATATCTGCTATTGAATTCTCACGATAAGCTTCAAAATATCCAATAACTGCAATTTTCCGTGGCCTCGCTTATTATGAATTCTTTTTTTGCCCTTGTTTTAGCAAAAACATTTTCGTTGCCCCTAAATTTTCGATAAAGTCTCAGAAAATATCGTTCATACGGTTGAATGCGAGCGGGATATAATTCACTGTAGTATTTATTCTCTTGCTCTCAAGGAGGATTTTCTGCACACTAAATAGCATTCTAACATATCACACTTTTCTTCATGGGAGAACATTTTTCTTTAAATTAATGACACAATAAAGCTTATAAACAAGTATTTACACTAATGTTTGACATTATTTGATTTATCATTGTTTTCCAAAGCCTTCTAGTTGCGAGTATGTCCAGTTTAACAATTTGTCGCTTATCTTAATGCTGTCAAATCGCGAACGCCATGTTGTTTTCATAGCCGTCTTAATATTATAATACTGCAAATAATTAAAAATATTTATCGTTATTTTGACTTTATTTTTGACTTTAGCGGAAAAGTCATTATGAACTTTTTGTTTAAAATTTGATGCTTTAACAGAAAAAAATATAATATACAGGGGTTTCCATTTAAAAAAATGTTATTTTACTGAAAAAAATCAAAATAACGACTCTCAATTGTTTTTTTTTATTTCTCATTTTTACCAGCGTTAAAAATGCTACTAGTTTGCTAATTCAAACAACTTTGTATTTTCACTAATAACAAAGTTACTAATGGTGGACACTTAATTTGGATAACCCTGTATACTGAAGAGAATCTGACTTTTGGTGTGATTAACTCAATAATCGACAATTTCTGTGCGTAAATTCGACAAACTGGAGCCTTAGCAACATATTTCTACCCGCAAAATTCCCTGTTACTAGATATGTTCCTAATTAGCCAAATGAATAGCAACAAGTAATAGAATGAACTAACTTAGCTGTTGGAAACATGTCTTTGATCTTGTGCAACTCCATATCATTGTCAAATGTCATCATCTCAATTCCAACTTCTGCGGCATACTTCAAATGACTCAACTTCTTCGTAGGATGTGCGTAAATGATTTTGTTTGGAGGAACACCCAGAGAAAGCATTTTCTTGATCTCTTCTTTCGAAGCACAGTCAAAACCTGACTTCATGGCAACCAAGGTTTCAAGCACCAACCTATGTGGATTGCATTTTACAGCTGCAATAGAATAGATCCAGTTTAAAATTTTACATTTTACATGTATATACATAAAACTTTGAGTGACGATCAAAAAATGATTTTGGCGAAGCTTCGAAAATCTGCATTTACATAGCTGTATTGGCCTAGTGGCAGGAAGGTGAATCCTGGCAACTGGGCCATCTTTGGAAGTTTTTCTGACCCTGAGTGTACTAACATTCTTGTCCACATGCTTCAAAATGTAGTGGACTCCTAATGAAGGTCAGAATGTCTGACCACTCCGCACAGGTATTTTGTAAAAAACCTATAAAACGTCAAAAAAACCAATAAAATGTCATCTTGCAGACTAGGTAGATTTTAGGGTGGAAACAGTCATTCTTCGTTTGCTCACTATTCCTACGCATTGCCATTTCCTTCTAGCTATAGTATGCAACTTTACAGTTTAGACCGCCAGTAATGCCATATCTGTACCAGATTTTACATAACATAAAGCCGAACATTGATGACTGAAGCCCAATGACGTTTAGGCAACAGTATTACTACAAAACGAGTTCCCAACATGTCCATCAGCTAGTGCTATGTTAAGATCTTGTAGAAAAACTTACAGAATTTCACAAAAGCCAATATAATGTCAAAAAGTTGACATAATATCACTTTTCAAGATACGTAATACCCGTGCCGCTGAGTATGTAACTACATCATTAATGTTCATTGTTCCGAATATCTCAGCAATATGCGGGGCGAATGCCCAGAATGTGGAACATTGTTTTATTGTCCTCCAAGCGCATGGGGCATATAATGGGTGATTTTTTTGCTAGTATCTTTTTGGCAACACTATTTTTGACATATGACGCGTGAATCGCGTCTTGTGTCATTGTCAAACTTGTTCAGTTTGGTCTATAATTTAACCATGAATCGACGTACGAACGAACAACGCTTGCAAATTATTGAATTTTACTATCAAAATGCATGCTCGGTTAAGAGAGTGCATCGAGCACTGCTTCCAATTTATGGGCAATTTGGTCGGCCTACTGAGGGAGCTATTCGGAAGCTTGTGACTAAATTTCGAACCTAGTTTACATTATTGGACATTAAACCACCAACACGCAGACGTAGATTGAGGACTGAAGAAAATATTGCGGCTGTATCCGGCAGTGTTAGTGATGACCGTGAAATGTCGATTCGCCGCCGTTCGCAGCAATTGGGCCTCTGTTACTCCACTACGTAGAAAATTTTGCGACAGGATTTGGGTGTAAAACCTTATAAGATACAGCTGGTGCAAGAATTGAAGCCACACGACCTCACACAACGTTTCCAATTTGGTGATTGGGGGCTGGCAAAGTTGGACGAAGATCCACATTTTTATCGAAAAATTGTGTTCAGCGACGAAGCTCATTTCTGGTTGAATGGGTACGTTAACAAGCAAAATTGCCGCGTCTTGAGTGAAGACCAGCCAGAAGTATTGCAAGAGCTACCAATGCATCCCGAAAAAATCACTGTTTGGTGTGGATTATGTGCCGGTGGCATCATCGAGCCGTACTTCTTCAAAGACCACAATGGCCGGAACGTAACTGTGAATGGCGAGCTGGACTTGGCTGACATGTGGTTTCAACAAGACGGTGCCACATGCCACACCGCACACGAAACAATGGCCCAGTTTATCTCACGTTTGGGGCCCGTCAATTGGCCGTCTAGATCGTGTGATTTAACGCCGTTGGACCATTTCTTGTGCGGCCATGTTAAGGCTAATGTCTACGGTGATAAACCAGCAACGATTGACGCACTGGAAGACAATATTGAAGCATTTATTCGTGAGATACCGGCCGATATGTTGGAGAGAGTGTGCCAAAATTGGACCTTGCGCATGGGCCATCTAAAGCGGAGCCGCGGCCAACATTTACATGAAATAATCTTTAAACATTAAATTATATCGACCGTTCTATCGACTCAAATAAAGATTTAATCGTTTTTTTCAAATTTTTTGTGTTTTTTTTTTAAATCAAATCCTATACCTCTTAAAAAATCACTTTTTAGAATTTATTTTCACTCTTAGAAGGTACAAGTGACTGCTCAGTCTACAGTCGCTGGTGATGACTCCCACTAAAAGATGAGAGATTTTCTACCTGTGTCAGAGCCTATGAACCTATTAGCCTGCCTGCAGTCATTAGTCTCTCAACACACTTTTTCCAGGACCCTATACCCAGCCTAGACTCGGAATTAGAAGTGAACTTGTCCTTGGAGATTCTACTGCCTTCAAGGTTACTTAGCTCACATGTTTGGGATGCTGGTGCCCCGACTACATTATCCATGTTCGATGCCGTTCAGAGGGCTGTCCGACTGATGTAGGAGTCTTCTCTGGCGGCGATCTAGTTCTCTTCTACCGCTACGCCAATGGGCTTTACTCCTTGGAGCTCTCATCCATACTGCCGCCACGCGTGCATCCACAACTATCTGTTACAATCCGCTTTTCCCAGTTCGACTAACCTTAGGCAGTTCAAAAATCGGATTAACAGACCGGA